GAACGCTTTTTAATACTTGGATATTTAAATATGATCAAAAAAGATTTAAACAGTAAAAAATATATAATACTGGATAAAGTATTATCACTACTAATATAGTGGCTTTTTTATAATCTATTATTAAAAAAGATACAAAAAAATAAAAGTTTAAACTATATAGTAGAACAAGAAACCAGAAAAGAAACACAATGTAATAATATTATAAGTTATTATCAAACAGCAATTGTATATATAAATAATATAATCTGAATTATAAGCAACAAAAAACAGTTATTAGAAATCTTAAAAGTAACAAAAATATTTTAAAATGAATAATATTAAGATAAATAAATCTAAATTAAAACTGTTAATAATAAATAAAAAATAGAAAAAAAAGAAACATATCATTTGAAAAAAATAAAATAATAGAAGAACTAAAAAACAAGATAATTTGTTCTTTAAAAATCTAACTAAACAATAGAATATAAGAACTTTTAGTAAAGAAAAAAGCAAAAAAATAATAAACCAGACAATAGAAAATCTTAAATATAAAAAATAATAATAAATTAGATCATATATATAAATAATATAGTAATAAAACCAAAATTAAGCTATATTTTACAGTTAACAAAGATATTAGAAAAAGTAATAAATAAAATATACTAACTAATAATATGTTTAGCAAAACAAAAAACAATTTGCAAGATGTGGGTTCCATAGCTTAGTGGTTAAGCTCCTATACCTTTTATAGTTAAGGTCAATAGTTCAAGTCTGGCTAAAGGCAAAATTGAAAGATTTTAACTTCTGTAACCTAATAAGAAGCCTGTAATTAAATGGGAAGCCCTGTAGTTAAGTTCAAGTGCAGTACAATGATGGAAATAAAAATTCCCAGAAGGAGACCTAATTGTGGAGTGCAGGTACTATGCATAACAAGTAGTTGTTACAGAAAGTTATGATTATGGAAAGATTGTGTATATAAGTTCTTTAGGCTAGGGCAGCACCAACATCCTTATACCTTCTAATATAGGCAGTACCAATATTCCTGCATCCAACTTGTGGGGTACTTGCTTGAAAAGATAATTAACGGATTGTACAAATAAGTTTTAATTAGGATTCAAGAAGAGGATTTGATTGAGAGAGTATTCTGAAAGTAACCAAGACTGGAATAGTGAGAAAAGTGGTAAACACAAAGATGGACTGTGATAAAGAATTGGTTTAACCTAAAATTGGAAGCACCTCTGACATAGCCAAATAATTTAATTATAAAAGGAAAAAAATTTTGAAGGTTGGCATATAACTTTCTTGTGTAATGTAAAAGTGCCATATCGGATTCTTGGTTATACTTATATAGAAGTTTATAATGAACAAGACTAAGATTAACCAACCAATATGAGATAAGATCTGCAAAATAGTATGGCATTACTAGGGTTGGTGTAACTCCCTGAAGCATAACCAGAATTGTCTTGCAAGTATTATCGAATAAGCTGGGAGTTTACAATATATGATAGTATAATATCACTAGAGTCAGAGAAACTCCCTAGGTATAATTAGAATTGTTCTATTTGTAAGTATAACAAGTCTCAGTTCTTATTATAAAAGGGAGCATCATGTTAAAGGTTAAATGTAACATCGAGTTACTGTATAACATTAAGACCTAAGGCATCTGCAAGAACAGTAGCAGCAAACCTGACTTGAGATATGGATTGGTCAAAAAGACCAATGGCAGTAGCAAATCTGGCTTGAAATACAGGTTCTTTGCAAATCCTGAACCATTGTCAAAACACTTAGGAAAATTAATAACAAGCATACTAAAAATGGGAAGATTATAAAGATCAAACATACCTGAGTAGGATCAATTTGAGAGTAGTACAGTAACAAAAAAGTAAGAAATGTGGGGAACAAGATAATACTAGATATAGTTAGATTAAAAGGTAGAAGAAACAAGATCAGATAAAACATATGAGTGGAATATATGGGTATGATTTACAGAAGACAGTATCTCTGACATTTGGAATATCATATTAAGTTCAGTAGGTATTCTTGTCTGTATAGCAGTTTAATGATATGTCCTGACTGCAAGTGGTTGTTAAGATAACTGCATGCAGGCATGCAGCAGACATGCATTTAGATGCCATATAGGTAATTAGATGAAGTCAGTAATGTAAAATTAGATAGTATATAGTACTAGTAATCATTGATCCTAAAAATGTAATCATAAATTTGTACTATATCAAATTAAAGCTAATAAACTAACTGGCATTGTTATTAAAGTTCAAAAAAAAAAACAATTTGCTAAAAACATTAGAAAATTATATAATAAAATACAAGGATCTTATAAGTTGCAGAATTCTGTAAAAAAATCAATAATAAAACAAGTAGAAGGTTTGCTAATAAGACTAAACAGAAAAAATAAATTGAAATAATTAATAAAATAAAAAATAATACAAGGCTACTAAAGAGCAGAATTAATAGAAAGCATATTAAAATAGATAAATTACTAAAAAATATATTATATTAAAAAGAGATATAGTGACTTAGTAAAGTAGATAAGTTGTTAACTTTTCAAGTAATAGATTAGATGTTTAAATACTATTAATAACAAAATTTAAATAATTATTTATATAATACTTATATTATAGCAATTGTTTCTAATGATTAGGTTAGAATATCTGTAATGACAGTTATACTAATATAACTAGCAAGTTATAGGACATCTGTGTAAATATAATATTATATAGAAAAATGCAAACTAACATTAGATAGTGCAAACTTTAAATAAGTTTTATGATTATATAAATCTGTTAAAATTAAAAAATAAGAAGTCTATTTAAAAAAACTTGAATAAAAAAGTAGCATAGATCTTTGACAATGCTACTATAAAGGCTAGGCTTATAAAATAAATACTAATGTTAAAGTATTTAAAAAGGCAAGAACCTAAGTTAGAGGCTTTAGAGGTACTACTAATTAAACTACTAAAACAGACTAGAGAAAAAGAATATTAAGCTAATCTAATATACTAATAAACTAGTTATAGTTCTATATAAACTATCTGAATTAGAAGTCTAAAGATTAGACAAAGATATGTTAAAGTATTTTGGATATGCTATAAAGTAGATGCTAGAGTTTGAATAAACTTTACAAGAATATAATAATTTAGTAACTAGTCCTGATTGCAAGTATTGATTCTGTTATAGCAACATTAGATTAGTTGTAAAAATAAATACAAAAGGCTTATCTCAAAAATAAAATAGTCTTAAGATTGAAATGATAACCTAATCAAGATTCAGTAATATTAATACAAGTGCAGGTTTAGAAAGTTTAAAATAGAACACTCAAGCAGAAGTGTTAGATATAACAATTAATAAAAAAACTTTAGATAAACTCTTTAAATAAGTAATATAGAAAAGTTATATATATAGCTAATTGTATATTCTTTTTGTAATAGTTTATAGAATTATATTACTAAAAAAGTTATTAATAAAAGTTAAAAGACCAAAGAGATTATCTTAATACCAAAAATAAAAAAATAAATCATATTAAAAGAATAATTTAGTTTGTCTAATAATAGTTAAAACAAGAAAATTAAGAATAAATATAAGTATAAAAAGTAATTTATAAACAATAAGTAGTTACTAAAAACATAAATATAAAAAAGAAGTGAAATCAAAATAAATGAAACAGAACTAATATATTTAAATTAGATATTTGATATAAAGATAAAAATATAATAATACAGTCGATACTGTCTAAATGCATACTGTCTAAATGCATATACTGCTTAACTGCATGCTATTTTTATTTCCCAACCTAGTTATTAATTATAAATGCATAAACCCTTTATTTGCATAATGCATAAGAAAAATCTATAGGTAAATAGGCCTAATTGCATAATATATTATAACATATGAATTGTCTAAACATATTACATTTGCCAAATTAATCTGAAATTCAGACATCCAGATTTAAAATTAAATAACCAAATTACATATTAATCAATAAATGCCAAACTTCCAAAATAATTTTGAATGTCTGATCTATACGATAATACATTTAATCTATCTTTTCCACTATCTAACCCATTTTATCGCATTCTAATAGACAGAATTTCACATATGATGATGTATCCTCACTCGGTAATAGTAACCAGCACAGTTAAAGATCAATGTCATATTAATAGGGTATTTTATAAATGCGCCATAATGAAAAGACACAACATTTAATAATATAATTTATTATATTGCCTTTTAAAATTTACTACTTACAACATATGATACTACATAACTGCTTTGATAAACAGAGACCAAATAAACATAGAAGTTTTTCTAAGCAATAGAGTTATACTGTAAATTATTTTGTAATATACTATCACCAAGTAAATTACAATAAATAATATCATGTTAATAAATTAATTGAAGGTCAAATGCGATATAAAATAATAATTCTAATTTTTTTCTTATTTTATTCGAGCAATGGCATAAAGGCTCTGATGTAAATATCCTATTTGTATGTATTATATAAATGATTAAAAAAATAAGAATGATTCTAACATAAGTATACTTTATTGGGCAAAAATTGTCGAATAACAGTAATTTGGCAAATGAGCATGTGCCGCTTTGCGGCACATATAGCCAATTATTTGTCAAATTACCTTATTCGAAAATTTGTCCAATAATGGTGTTATCCGGCAATTTATGATCATGTTTGGTAGAGAGTTGCTCGCTGAGTTTTAATTTGAATAAACATGATTATCATAACACATAAAAAAAATAACCAAAAGAAATTTTTTCATGATCATATGAGTTTGTCGGATAAAAGATCTTATTTGTACGCATTGTATAAATAATAATAAGAACCTATTTATTATGCTTTTTCGACCTATACTACTAATATAAAATCAAAAAATCAGTAATAAAAAGCAGACCTGTAAAAGCAATTGAATAAACTCTTATCTGGTATTTTACTTGAATAAAACTATCTAATGTTGTTTGAATCTTGGAAAAGGAGACTTGAAGTCAAATTTCTCATTGTAATGAATGCAATGTTCTAAGCACAGTATTGTGATCAGAAATAGTTGTATCAAGAAGACTGATTACAGTACGAATAGCATCAAGTCTAACAGGGTTTGAAGGAGTAATAAAAGAAGAATTACTTTTATTTATACTATCAGTATCATCATTTTCTGGGGTCATTGATGCCAGTAAGTCAGCATCTGTGAATTCTTGATGTACTATGTCTGTTTCTTCTGGTGAGCTTGTATAATGAGCAATGCTCATAGGGTGGCAGGAAGACAATATTTGGAGTGATTCTTCCAACTCTGTGAGAACAGATAAATCCTCATCATTTGGATAGACTTTACAAATAGCGGTAGTTATTTCATAATCAAACAAGCCAGTATGGTGAAAACAATTTGTAATAGTTTCTAGAGGAATTAAATTTCAAGCTTGAATACACTATTGCATTGCCTTTAGTTGATCGACTTTATAGATATCAGATTCCCCAGCCTCATCACAGTCAATAGCATGTTGCAATAAAAAATGATGATATCGATATTTGAAGGCAGCAATAATGCCTGCATCCATTGGTTAAAGCTTTGAGGTAGTTCTTGGAGATAAAATAACAACCTTTATATGAGTAAGATATACATTACCAATTGCATGCGAAGTGGCACCATCAATAAGAAGAAGAATGTGTCGATTTGCATCTTCCATCATACAGTTAAAGTTTACAATCCATTCTCGAAAAAGTAATCCAGTCATCCAGGCTTTCTTATTATAGCAGTAATAAAAACCAAGCTGCTTTTTAGTTTTACCTTTAAACGATCTTGGTTTATTTGAGTGACCAATAATAAAAGGTTCTAACATATGAGAGCCATCTGAATTGGCAGTAAAAGCAAGGGTAAAATGTGTTTTATCTTTTTTGCTCTTTTCAATTTGTCTTTTAGCGATTGTTTTGTCTAGAGCCATCCTATAAAACAGACCAGTTTCATCTATATTATAAACATCACTTGCAGCATATTGTTTAATAGTCTCACATAGTTCAGGCAAGCTTTTTTTGATTGCTTCATTATCAGTGGACCCACTTTCTCCATGTATTTTATGCATTTTAAAATTATAACATTGCTCAAATAAGAGTAGCCAACCAACAGAAAAATCAGGTGTATTGCAATCTTGGGGGTTAAGACCAATTTGTTCAGCCAATTTACATCTTTTTTCATGTATTAACTTCCCAGTCAACTGAATTTTTCTTGCTTGACATTGCAAAACCCAGTTTGCTAATGCTTCATCTAGTTGAGGTTGGAGTACTGTTCAGCGATGTTTGATTCTAAGATCTTTCTCATCATCAAGCTTAAGATACTCATCCTTTTTGGCAAGGATTCATGAAAGTGTTGCTTGGTTGAGGGCGTTATCAAGACCAAACTCTTCTTTTGCCCATTTTGCAAGCTCTTCTTGTGTCATGGTTAAATTATTTTGTTTTTGTATACAAATTTTTTTGTGCTGGTCATTAGTTAAACTAATTTTTGAAGACATGAAGGAATTTTTTTTTCCTTTTTTGTTTTTTTTTGTTTTTTTTTTTTAAACCTTTGTATTATCATTGTGAAGGCATATATAGCATATGATGAAATGCCATTTTTATGCTAGACATTAACCAGGTTTTTTTCAAAACCAATATTCATCTATACTGTTCTGTTACTCAATATTTCAAATATTCAGTGAAAAAAAAACATGGCATAGTTAAGGTTTCTATTGTCTTATATTGTGTAATTTTATTTATTCACACTTTACTAACACCACGTTCAATGCTTATTATAGTGACAAGGTATGTATTTTACTTATTTATTTTATTGGAAAAGAGATAATTATGATTTATGTATGCATTACTAATTTCCTATTCTATTTTATACGAATTTAATATTAACTATCATTAACTATCACTGACTACCATTTACTATCGTTATTGCTACATTAATTTTATCATGTCTAATTTTTTACAATACAATACTAAATTGGCTTTGCATGCATAATCGCCTCAATTTTGTCGATATTGTACTATTTAATTGTTATCCTGTTACATGATCAATTGAAATTAACATTTGAGTATTACCAAGAGAATTTTAAATATAGAATATCTGGTTTTTCACTTGGCAAATTTAGTTAGAGTATTCTAGACACTCCAATCGATAAGTTCATAATAATAATGCACAATTACAACTAAATTATATCAATGTTTTTATATTAAAAAAATATATATTGATATAATTAGAGTAGTATATTAGGCTGCATCTAATTGGCTAATCATTATGTTACATAAAATATGCTTACTGTCTTAATGCATATACTGTCTAAATGCATAAAAACTCGTCTAACAGATGGTATGCATTTAGACAGTATCGACTGTATAACAGCAATTCAAAACTACTAAAAACAATTGAGTAAAAATAAAAAACCAGAATAATTCAAAATAATAAAAGTAAGAGTACTATATAATATATAAATAATAAAGATTAAGTAAAAAAGTTTATTAAAAGACAAAAAAAGAAGAGAATATATAATATATAATATAAAAAATACTAGACAATTAGAGAAAATAATAATAAAAAAAACAAAATATTAATAAAACATTAGCAAATACAAAATATAAAAAATAATTTAATAATTATAATTAGCAGATGTAATAAGTATGCAAAAAAATAAAAACAGTAAAAAAAAGTTATTAATATTAAATAAGAATTAATAACAAGATAAATACAATTTTAGATATACTAATAAAAAAAAGTAAAAATATAATCAAGTTAGTTATAAACCAACTAATAGAGAACATAAGAGCAAAAAAAAATCAAAATTAATAGAACTTAAAATACTAGAAAATTTGAAAATAAGGTTAAATAAAAGCAAAAACTAAAAAAAAATATTATTTAAGAAATAAGAAAAATTGAAATTGGAATTTTCTTTTTGCAAATTCTTTATACAAATCTTATCTAAAAATTTGTCTATACAAAAATGTTTATAACTATTTATTTTACTAAGTTAACTTATTTTTGGCTCTTAAGTAAACTTGTTCAGTACTAAATTATATATTTATTTTAAAAGTTTCAAGTCTTTAAGATTCAAACTCATTAAGAAAAACATATTAATAGCCTTTAACCTTCAGAATTTATAATTTTAATTGTTATGCAAAAGTTATTGTCAAAACCTATTTTATACTCTTAAGCAAAAGTGTAGAGTACACTTTTTTAATCAAAACAAGCTTTAAATAAAGATTTTTGACCTAATATTGACTAAATTACAGCCAAATTTAATTTTTTATTCTCTTGTAAAAATTCTTTTTTTTATTTTTTGCCCTTATCCTGGTCTGCTCATCCTTACACATTTTTTATATAATATCAAATCACTTTTTAATTTATATTTAATTAAATTTATACTAAATTTACTAATATATTCTTAAATAGAATCTTATTAATACATAATCTACTCTTTTCTTTTTTTTTTTTAAGGGCAGTCTCGCCTATGTGTCTTTTTATTAGTAGTAGTATAAGATTACATATTATATACAGAGTATATCAATGAAAGTACAACTAGTTATACATATAACTTTAGTCATTATCTAATTAAGGGTTCTGCCCATAGGTTACCCACTAGATGCCATACCTGAGACCCACCTGTGAGTCACCTATTTAAACTTTCTAATTTTCAACACTTAACTATATATATATATAATGTATATCATTATGTTTATGACAGAACAGGTTAGGGCTATCTAATTACTATTTATATCTAAGTTCCACCTCATTGGATGTTACTAAGTATCCATAGTCCTTTCGAATTTACTCTTGACACAAACTTACTAAGTATAGTACCAAGATTACCCCTTAGATTTATTTAATTTTAGTATATTCTGTAATCTACTAGAACCAGTTTGGTGCCAGAAGTGTTCAAATTTCAGTAAGTCTATTCCTTTTCTATGGTTTTTTTTTATGTTTACTGTATCACTCGCTAGTGCACCTTCTCTCCATTTCTGGTATGTTTACCACTTCTCTTACATCGAGCGCCAACTCTCCATATTGAGAAACTTTTTTCTGAGAACTTCCTTATATACTGATCTTCTAATCATATGAACTTAGCCACAGAGCTTCATGTATATTCATATGCTTCCGTAGATTACAGAGTTGCCTTTAGCTGTAATTGAACTGTCGACCTTGTTTGTAGAGGGAAGGGTGTCTAGACCACTAGGCTACGGGACCCCATCCCCACAATCTACTCTTTTCTATATTTGGTTCTAATTAATTTTATATAAAAGTTGTATTTTGTACCAATACTATGCTATACTGGTGACTATTATTTAGTCATATTCACTATTCTAGTTATTATAAATTATAATTTTTGTAATATCTTATTATATAAAATTACATAAACCTATATTAAGCTACATTTTATACTAAAATCCTTATAAAATCAAATATTTACAACTTCTTTATTTTTTCTTATTTAACAAAAAATCTAAAAATACTGACTCTTGTGATAACTGAATCAGACTTTTATGATATGGATTATTATTACTCTAAATACAAAGGTTGTTATGAACTTGGTATAAATAAGGAAACTTTCAAATTACTTTGTGTTCTTCTACCAGATATTAATCCTAATCAATATAAAAGTCTTAAGAAAAAATATTATTATTTCAAAGTTCCAACTTAACTAACTATTAGCACATGTTTATATAGTCAATTTTATACTAATTTTACCTTTTATTACTATAAAATTACATAACTTACTATTCTTGATCTCTCTAATATGTAAACCTCTCCAATTATCTCTACTAAATGCTTTAAAAAAATTAGTAATACTCTATCTATATCTTCTATTACTCAACTCAACTTCCTAATTCTACTATTCTTTTTCCTTCATTTAATACTAATCCTACACCAACTGTTATTATTTTTCATTCTTAACATATTCATACATGTGTATTATATAATATCAAAAATCTTTTTTGTGTTCTCTCTCAAGAAAACAAGCATTTTTCAAATTATATTACAGCAATTCTTTTTAGAACTTAGCTTATTTATTATAGCTATATTCATAGAATTATTAATATTAAATTACATCATCTTATTCAAACTAAATCTTTATCTTAAGAACAAAAGAAAATGGTTTATATATCCAAATTTGTCTTAGTCAATAAAACTGAAAAAATAAAACTTTTTAAAGAAGTTTTATCTAAATTTTCAAAAAAAGATAACAAATTTCAACAACAAAAACATAATACTTCTCAAGATCTTGACTGGTTTAAATTATTTCTAGTCATAAAAGAAATAGAACCTAACTCAAAACTTAATATTCCACATTTACAACAATTATTTGACTTTCTTAAACACAACTTAATTTCTTTCACATCTAGAAAAACTATTCTTTCTAAAAATCCAAATATTAAATCTATTTTTAAATACTTCTTTGATTACTTATTAAAAATTATGGCTGAATGAAAACCTAAATTTTTAGTAAATTTAGTTCAAAAATCAAACCTATTAATTGGCATTCATATTCCAATTTCTATATAAATTTTAATTAATACTTTAAAACTTATATTTTCTAAATTTCTTACTATATTTTTTACAAAACTTAACTATAAAAAAATTTTTCAATTTTATTATACTATTTCACTATATATATTCCAAAATCAACTTCAAGTTAGTATCAATCTTGCATGTTTACATCTTTTCCTTAACTTTATCTAAAAACTATTCATATGAAAAAATTTGTAAAAGATTTAAATCTTCAACTACTTCATCTTACTTTATATTATAATATTAGTTACAATTTAATAAACAAATCTTCTTTCTAAATACAAAATAATGATAAACTAAATGTTAATGTTTCTTTTAATATTAATACAGAAAAATTCAAAAACTCTTTTCAAATACCTTCTTTTAAACTACATAAAACTATTTTTGAAAACTGGTTTGATAAATTCTTTGAAATTTACAAACATCATTCTCCTAATATTATCAAAACTAAAGTCTTTAATTTTCTCAAATATCAAACTACAACCAAATATGCTAAAGAGCATAAAAAGCTATTATCTTAATTCTTTATTATTAAATTTATTACATTTTTACAAGAGTACACCCTACTAGTTAAAAAACTTGTTTTTTTTATGTTTATACTTGTAAAAACTCTGATGAATATAAATATATAGTTCTGTTATCTGATACTAAATATAACTTTCAAAATCTCTCTATATATTACTTTGACCAATCTTTTAAAAAATTTCCTGCTCCTGTCTCTGATAAATCAAACCCATCTATCAAATTTAATCAACCAGCATGGACTCATCCTACTTTAGATTTCTTAATCTTCTATAAAAATAATGAATATTTAGCTTTATTCAAAATTTTGACTTCAATTAAATTTCTTCACGAACTTGCTGTTTCTGCTAAAAAATGATTCATAGAAATCAACAAAACAGATCATAATATAAACTATTAAACTTATTACTTTTATGAATACTTTAAAGCTTTCCTTTAAGTAGT